CAGTGCTCCATGCAGAATGTGCCCTCCTCAATACCCATCACCAGGCTAACCCATCCTCCCACCCCACTCCCCTCTAGAACCCTCCCATCCCACTCCCCTCTAGAACCCCTCTAAAACCCTTGTTTTTCAGAGTCCATCGTCTCTCATGGTTCGTCTACCCCTCCAATTTCCCCACCTTCATTCTTCCCCTCCTGCTACTGAAGGCAGACGCTTAACGACTGAGCCACCCAGATGCCCAGAAATGATTTTTTTTAAGATTTTATTTTTAAATAATCTCTACACCCAACATGGGGCTCAAACCCAAAACCCTGAGATCAAGAGTTGCATGCTCTACTGACTGAGCCAGCCAGGCGCCCCTGAAATGATTTTTAAAAAACCAACAAATACCCTGATAAATGGCCAAAGGAGACATTGAGACAAGAGTCAAAATGGTTCATAAATATATTATGGGGAAAAGTTTCTCCTGTTAATAGTCAAAGCAATACAAATTATAACAGTGAGGTACCATTTTCTCATTAAATTAGAAAAAAGTAGTGAAGCAGAATACTAATGTGATAAATGCCGGTAAAACTGGTATTTTATTTTCCTACATTATTATTAGCAATGGAAACTGGAATAATCCACATAGAAAGTATTTGGTTCGTACCCCTTGATCCACTAATCCTATTTATAGGGACCTAGTCTAAGGAGATAATCCAAAATACATTCAAAGCTGTAGGTACAACGGAGTTTGTGTGGGAATTTGGAAGCAACCTGAATGTCCAAAATATAGGGGAGCAGAAGATTATAAACTACACCCCACCGGAAACATTACACAGCCATCAAATACTGGCTGTGAACTCTATAAGCCATGTTTTTAAAATAGTATGATACAATGTTAAATGAAAAAAAAAAAGCCATCTCTAAAACGGAACCACATAAAGCAGGAGGCCAGATAGAATCCTACACGCACACCACTTCCCAGAAAGCACCTGCACAACCCCCTAGGGCCCCATCATAATAGCTGAGCAGGCTCCCTTTACAGAAAGACTTTTTTCTTTGCCCACTGGGGAAGGAGGGCAGCTTAGACTTTATCCTCAAGGAAATGGTATTTTATCACAAGTTGCGTCTGGCTCCTGAGGTCGTGCAAAGTGCTTGTCCGTTCCTTAGCTCATTGGCCACCAGTAGCCCCGGGGCTGGGCAGAACCATCACCCTCCAGTCACAGCTCATGCGACTTGCCCGAGCTCACGCAGCCATAATTGGGAGGCTAAGGGTTAGAACTCCAAGGGTCGGTCCTCCATTTATGATCTCATCTTGTCTCTTGGCCTGAGGATAATTCTTAAGGTTGAGATATCATTACTCAATTTATTTTTAACTTTCCAGATTTCTGCCATTATGAACATGGTATCATGTTGGCTTTTGTCTTCTGCATTTATTTTTCTGGAGCCATTTAAGAGTATAGACTGATGACCCCAGAGCCCCTAAATCCTTCAGTGTGTATTTCCGAAAGAAAGGGACCGTCTCTTAGGTAACCACCTACACCTTCCAGAAGCAGGGCAGTGGTGTCGCCTGGAACGATGCTGTTACCTGAGGGTGGACTTTACAGGAATGTTGTCTGTCTCTTGCCAATGTCCCCGATAGCAAAGGGACACCCTCAGGTTGTGTTTGACTTAGTTGTCGGGTCTCTCTGTTGTCCGGCGATCCGCAACAATTCTTTCTCGGTGTTTCAGGACACTGATTTTTTTGAAAGGCAAGGTCTGTGGTTTTGTGGAAGGTCCCTCTGCCGGGCTCTCCGGTGCTTCCCCATGAGTGGTTTTAGGTTCTGCACTGGGTCTGGAATCCCACAGAACAGTCTTCTTATTCCTCCCTCCCCGGGGACTTGGACTTGTTCACCTCTGGTGATAGGAATTCTGATCGCCTGATGAAGGTGTTGCCTGCCAGTTTTGCAGCGTGGTTACTGTCCTCCCC